GCATCGGGGGGGGTGGTGGCAACCCTCCTTCCGGCCTTGCCGCCGGTGGAGCAGCAGGCGGTGGCGGTGGCGGTGGCGGTTGCATGCATCTTCGTATGAACTGCCAGAAATTCCCTTGGAATAATGCGAACTGACGTTGCATTTCCGCCATGTCGTTATTCGGCGGGGGTGCCCTCGGTCCTTGAGGTCGTTGCGCAGGAGCAGCACGTCGTGGAGGCATAGCTACTGCGGACAAGAAATTTTTATTTAGTATCGGGACCTGGTGATCATGCTTGCATTTTTATAAAATCTTTAAAAATCATTTGTACCCATTCCCAAATTCCAGTGAAAACACGAGCACATCCTTTCTCCATGGAAAGAACTGCTCTGATACCAACGCTGTAACGCCCGTAACCCGCATCCCGCAATACGAGTTGCGTCACATGGACAAGTAAAATAAAATCACATTTTCCAAACATCCGCGCGTTGGTATCAGAGCAGTTCTTTCCATGGAGAAAGGATGTGCTCGTGTTTTCACTGGAATTTGGGAATGGGTACAAATGATTTTTAAAGATTTTATAAAAATGCAAGCATGATCACCAGGTCCCGATACTAAATAAAAATTTCTTGTCCGCAGTAGCTATGCCTCCACGACGTGCTGCTCCTGCGCAACGACCTCAAGGACCGAGGGCACCCCCGCCGAATAACGACATGGCGGAAATGCAACGTCAGTTCGCATTATTCCAAGGGAATTTCTGGCAGTTCATACGAAGATGCATGCAACCGCCACCGCCACCGCCACCGCCTGCTGCTCCACCGGCGGCAAGGCCGGAAGGAGGGTTGCCACCACCCCCCCCGATGCTGTAGTGGACTACTTGCCATTCGTCAAGGAACTCCGAGCCTTGGGCACTCCGGAGTTTGAGGGTTCTCTCAGCCCAGAGGCAGCAGAAGACTGGATGATCAAGATCACCCATCACTTCAACTACATCAGGTGCCCACTGGGGTACCGCACAGAGTTAGCGAACCATCATCTGGCTGGCGCAGCTCGCCACTGGTGGGAGGAAGTTGTACGTGAGGCTTCCGCAGGATACCAATTCTCGTGGGAAGAGTTCCGGGCGGAGTTCGAGCAGAAGTACTACCGGAGGCAAGATCATAGCCACCGTATTACGGAATTCCTTCGTCTTGAACAGGGAAACATGACTGTTCGAGAGTACGAAGCGGAATTCAATCGGCTGCTGAAGTATGGAGGCCACCTAGTGCCAACTGGGGAGTACAAGATCCAGAAATTCATTGTTGGGTTACGTGCTTCTCTCAGGAGAATGATCGAGTGCCATGAGTACCCTACGTTGAGTCGGTATATCAACCAACTCGACAAGGTGGAACGCAGTGAGAAGGAGATGATGGAAGCCAAGAGACAAGACTGTGGTCCCTACAGGAGAGTGCCAGTCAACCGTCCCCCGGTGAGAGTTGGGCAGTCCAGCTAGAGTCATGACAAAGAAAAAAAAAACAAGGACACGAATGGCGCCACCGCCACCAAGGAAATCATGTTAATAGTGTGGCCAAGTTCATTTTGAACCATGTGGCACCCCCATTGACTTGCTTCCGATGTGGCAAACCCGGTCATTTTTCTTACCTGTGTTCGAAAAACTCGACAGGATAACCAAGAAGAAAATCTACACGTGTGTCACCACAAAAAAAAAAAAAAAATCAGCAGAAACTTCAAGGATATATACTCTTAATGTTGAAACCGAAGATGCCCATGAGGAGGGAGAATAATATAACAGAGAGGAGGATGAAATACTGAGGAAGAACAAGAGGAGGCAAATGCAGCAACAATCATATGTATTTTCAAGTTGCGTGATATTGATTGTTATATCCTGATTGAGGTTGAAACGATATATAGTTTCACTAAATTGGAAAAGGCCGAGAAGTGGGGCAGTGGAAGTCGAAACAACTTTGCCTTTCGCAGTACGTACTCCTGTCAGGGAGACTTTACAAGTTTACGGGATGATAAATGATATTCCTATCCGTATTTATATACATATTTTAGTACCCCACTTCATAGTTATAATTATTAATTAGCGACTATGATGCAATCCTTGGTATGGATTGGCTATCAAAACCCAAGATCGGATTGACTATAATAAGAGAGCATTGATTGTCACCGACAAAAAGAGAATGTTTGTATTTATAGGAGAAAGAATTCAAATAAGTTTTTTTTTTCCATTGTTTCATCTTTTAAGACTAACAAAACGATCAAAGCTTTATTGATGGTGATTAGTGCAACTAAAGATTTAGAGAAATGAAGAAAATTACCAATCACATAACTTGGAGTTAGTAGCGATACTTCATGTATTAAAAAATATAGAATCCCTATCATTACAAAAAAAAAGGGTTAAACTCAATTTAGCTCATAAGAGTTTGATAAACATAATTTTACAAAAGGATCTAATCTTCGTCAGCATAAGTGGTTGGAACTTATTGCTGACTACGATTTGGATAATTTATATGCGCCAGATAGTAAGGATTTAAAACAGGAGATTTCGAGATAACCACATTAAAAAAAAAATGGTCATTCATCTTGGAGGGAGTAAAATGTATCAAGGCTTGAGACAATGGTATACGTGGTCATGAATTAAGAAAGAACATTCCAAATTTTTTATCTAAGTGTTTGACGTGCTAACACGTATGTTAAAGCCGAACGTCAGTTGCCAAGAGGCAAACTATAACCACTAGAAATCTCTGAACATAAATGAGATTCGATCGCTATGGATTTTGTAGTTAGTTTATCAATGATGCGAGAAAAAAAAAAAACAATGCAAAATGAGTTGTTGTGGACCGCCTTACTAAATCAACTCACTTTATTGCAATCAGGCAATAGTATACCGTGGATAAATTGGCACATAATTATTGGACGAGAAAATGCGGTTCTATGTGGTTCCAAACAAACGTATTTCAGATAGAGACCATCGTTTTACCTCGCGACTGTTGAATGCTATACAAACAGTTTTAGAGAAGAAGATAAAAATAAGTATATCATAACATCCACAGACTGATGGACAAACTGAAAGAACTATAAAGGTATTCGAGAATATGTTAAGAGTGTGTATTGTGGATTAGAAAATTCCAAGGGATAAATATTTAATGTGCGAAATTGCGTACAAACAACAATTACCATATAAGTATCGGAATGCCACAGTAAGAAGTCGTACATGGAAATCGATGTAAAATTCCTTTATGTTGGGCTGAATTAGTGAAAGACGGGTTCTGAATCGAAGATAGTTGAGAAAACCACAAAGGTTATCCAAATTATCAAAGCAAATTTGAATGTGGTCCAATATAGATAAAAACCCTATTCTGACCGAAGAAGAAGAGACTATACACAAGAGGTGGGAATTATAGACCGCACAATCAAGAAATTGTGAAGTAAGGAGAAAGTACTGGTAAGTATCGTATGGCGAGGTCAATGATTTCTATTACGATTTGGGAACCAACATTTAGGGAGAAATACGAAGTCACTACCACAATTAGTTCGGACAAATTCTGACTCGAATTAAATTCTGTGATCGATTCCTTTAGAATTCGAGGACGAATTCATTTTAACGGGGGTGGAATGTAATAACCCGTTCCCGAAAATATGGAATAAGACAGAAAAACCGTGATCAAAGTCTAAAGGACCGAGGATTAGGATCTAAAATTCTGGAATAAGATTTTGAAATAAATTTAAAGCTTAATAAAAGTTAGAGATAAAATAAAA